ATTAATCCCGGTAAAATCTTACATAGTTGCCTCTTTATACAAATGAAGTCTCCACACTCTTTTTGGCCGATGATCAGTTATAGACTCCATATTACGGCACTTGCCCCTCTAAATTTAAACACAGAAAAACCTATCTAGGCCTGCCCTTTGATTCTAAATCAACTATATAAGTTTTTGACTTACATTTTAGTATTAATTCCCCTTGCCATTCCTTCTTTCCATGTTTGTTCCCTTCAGTTCTTTGCAATGTTTTGTGTACTGCAGGTCTAGATTCTTCCCATTATTATTTTTTCTAAACTTCTTCCACTAGTTTGCCTGCAGAAATAGATTATGTATCTGTTTAAGTGAATAATTTACTACTGTTACTGTTTATGTGCTTTATGAGATATGATCACAAATAAGCATCTACCTGCAGAGATTTTAATTTTAATTCTGAGTCTGATGCTCAGGCTCATCACCTATGTCCAGTCGAGCTTTCCAAATTATGTCTTTCTGACAATGGCAACTCAAATTTTCCAGTCCTCTGAGCTCTAAATTTCATGATGAAAATTGAGTTCTACCAGTCTAAAACACAGTATTTATTTTAGTGTCTAAACCCAGTATGTATCTTACAGCTAAGACACAGCACATATTTACAAGACAGTAATTAAACTGCTGTCTCTTAGGCAAGTTACTAAAGCATCATTTACATTAGACCAAAAATGAATAAACAGAATGATGCAAAGAGCAGGAAGCACACTAAAATAATGCCAGGCTGAAGATGTCCTCACATGCTTTCAGGTTGTTCACAGAGAACCCTCACATAATAACTAGAAGTCTTCTTCAAACATTGCAACAGAAGAAACGAAAAAGCTTCTCTCTACAAAGGGAGAGATGATTTTGCAAATCAAAGTTTCTAGTCTACAGGAGTTCTTGTCACTCACTGATAGATTAAAACCAGCCACATGAAGAGGTCCTTCAAACATTTTGCTGCAAGAATTTTTAAATAGAGATTGGAAAGTGGAATTGTTCACTCTTACATGCGTTCTAGAGAATTACACATAGATCACATAAAAAGAAACCAACCCCCAAAAACCCCCTAAAGGAATCTTCCATTGCAAATAAATAATTTATTGGTACTTAAATAATTACAAGATCTCTTAGGGAAAAACTTATATAATGCAAATTGTAATGGGGGCAGTTAACACGACTATGTGAAAATATCTTACATTTATAATAACTAAATGACTAATATTTATAGGTAAAGAATACCTGTTTGTTAGTAAGGCAAATCCCAAAGATGACCACTCAATCTTGATTTATGGGGCTTGAGTTTTCAAGTACTGTTGCGAATGCAGGTTTCGGAAATCCTGCATTTCTAATGCTTTGATACTTCTTCTAAAGCTCAACATGCATTTAAAAATAATTATTTATAAAGCATGTTTTGAGAAAGAAGATTTGCTGGGGGAAAAAAAAAAAAAGGAAAAACTCTATACAGAACAGAATGTGTATTCTAAATAAGGATATGCTTTGGATTGTATTTAAGTAAGAATGAGGGAGAAAAATAATTTATCATCTGCACTCTTT